TGGCACCGATATCTCAATTATAAGCACATCTCATGCACAAATTGTAGTTTCTAAATACCAATTTCCACTAAAAGGCAGAGAAACAGCTGATTCCAAAGATGGGGCAGGCAAGTACAAGGTAAGTTTGGAGAAACCTGTGTGCCCAAATATAAGAAAGTACTTAAAAAATGATGGCAACTTGTCAAAGGACACAGGAGCCAACTTGAAAGGGCTCCCATTGACCAAACAGGGAATGATTTGAGATTCAAAATAAATAACAGATTATAATCCATTGACTAGAAAACCGTGAATTCACAGATATTAATAACCTGAAATTTTGATTTCAGGAGCAGGATATATACATAGCTTCAAACGACCTCCTCACAAAATACTTACAAAGGGAGGAAGTAACTTTACAGTGAAGAAGCCTGATAGGTAGTACCTTAAGCAAGTGATCAAAATGAGTATCATCAGAAATAGTGCACTGAAATTGTGCACTACCTCATAGGATGCAATGAGAACACAGAATTGCTTTTGTAATACCCCTGCCAAAAAAGCAACTGGAATCTATTCACGAGGAAACAGATAAACCAAATTTAGGGACATTTTACATAATAACTGGCTTATAATCTACAAAAGTGCCAAGGGTAGTAAAAGTCAAGGAAAGGCTGAAGAACCATTCCAGAGTGAAAGAAACTAGAGACACCACAACCCAAGACAACACATGATTTTGAAGTGGATCCTTATAAAACATTATTGGGACAACTGGTGAAACCTGAATGGGGTCTTAGGATTAGATGGCAGTAATATATCAATGTTAATTTCCTGATTTTGATGGTTGTATTGTGGCTATATAGGAGAATTTCTTCTCTTTGGAAATACAAAAGTATTGCAGGGTGATGGGGCATCATGACAGCAACTTACTCTCAAAGTGTACTCTCAAAATTTTATTTGTACCATATTTACAACCTTTCTGTAAGTTAGAGATTGTTTCGAAAATTTTTCTTTAAAAAGCAGAAAGCAAAAAAATGAATCAATAGATTCTTATTATTCTTAAAGAGCTGATAAAGGAATTCAATGATTAAAAAAACAATTTTAATGACGAAGTCTGTCCAGTTCCTGGGTCCACTGTGCACATATATGGTATTCAAAACTGTTTTAGTTTTGTGTCATTAATTCACCCAGAAATTCTTCTCACACATGACTTTCAGAATCTTAAACACACACACATACTCACACACTCTTCCTGTTAGTTAGGATAGTGACATGTTCATAGGTGCTGTTCAGTAGAGAGAAGCTATGTGAGTTCTATTTTTATCAAACAAAAATGTTTGTAAGTATTACTATAAAAATAACTTCTCCCCCTTGTGGCAAAAATTGAAAATACATTCTGAAGAATCCTAATATAGAGGCACTTAGTATTATTCGTTATAAAGTATTTTCATATAATTTTATGTGAATCCTCTAGCACACAGCATTTGCAAACAATATATTTAAGAGGTAGTTTCACAGTTTGCTTTAGTTCAGCATTGTCCAGATTCTATTTGGATAATATTCTCTATAGCAAAAAGCTGCAGGTTTGATAGACCACCACAACAAAATGCCAGAGTTCAAAGAAACCAAATTTACCCACAGTATAAAGATTAAAATGACAGGCAGGTAAAAAGGGATGGCCCCATTCCAAGGCGCCTGCCTATTTAAGATTACAGGGGCATCAAGAAGGATTCCTACCTCTCAAAGTTTAATCTAAAAAATCTGAAAGTCCACCATTGGAGATTAATTCCTTGGAGTTGGTTCCATCCAATCTTCAAACTTAGTTTATTAATATGAAGATACTCTGGAAGAAAGACATTTTCCTTCATTTAAGATTGCCAATGGTGAAAACAAAAGGAAGTCACTCATCTGAGTATAAATGAAACTTAATTTAACTCATTCCAGATTCTTATCCCTATTCTTACCCCTCCATACTTCTTCCTATTAAGTGACCAATCACTGATAATTCTATGTTTTATTGACCTTCCAGTGATTATAAAGTAATTTAAGTGGTTTTTGAAAGTAAACTTAATTCCAGTTTCAGACTTTTAAATTAAAAGTGGCTCAGTTGGATACTGTCTCTTCAACACAGTAATATAAATATTAGTGTCTCGGCTAAAATGAATTATTGACAATTTTAATACATGTTGCACAGTACATATTAATATAGGAAAATACATGTTAGCAGCAGCATAATGTTGACCATGTTCTAATCCATTCCACCTGCTCAAATATTAGTAAAAATAATTATATATTTGTAATGCATCACTGCTGTCTAGTGCAAATCTATGCCTTCTGAATAAATGACTTTCCTCTGAGCTTGTTTGCTGTTTGGAGTATGACTGTTATATATTCATATTTAAATTAGCTTTGTATGGTGAGGCAGACTATAACCTTCTAAACCACTTAGAAAATGAGCAAGTATAGTTAATTACTTGTCTCTCCACCACAAAAGTGTTATTAATCACAAGAACTGAAGTTTAGTGTTACCTCCCAGATAACAATGTTAAAGTATACAGGGCCTAGTTTAAAAATATCAGTCTTGTTAAGCACAGGGTTATCAACCCAGCTGCTTCAAATCACCAATTAAAATTCTTACTCTCTAATGTGTCAGGTTTCTCTCCTATATACACTTGAGGGTTGTTTCTCGCCTAAATTTGGAAAGAGAAAGATTGATCAGTGGTAAGAATAAAAGTTAAGAGTTAAGGCAATTTTAAAAAGATTAAATATGCAATATTTGATTACATAAAAATGACCCCTATTGCTAATACATTGAGTACATTTTTCTCCATGTTTTCACTCCAGCATTAGCCATTTAAAACTACCAATGCACTAAATAAACAACAGAATTGGCAAACTTGTGACATTAAAATAGTCTGTTTTTGAAGGTAGAAATACTGATTTCTTCGTATCTTTCAAGGTAGAGTTGTCATTCACTCCCATGTTACAAAATATGGTACAAAATACCTGAAGTCTTTCTGTTGCAAAAATTATTACTCAAACAGTAGTATGATTATGCAAAATAACTCACTAAAGAACTTTTTGATGGAAAGATTTCTAGTAGGTACACACTTAATATTCAATTAAAATTTCATGACCACTTATAAAATTTTAAAAACCAAATTTTATAAAAGTATGACCACACACCGGACACATTACGAAAAAGTCTAACAGTAAATTAGGTATTAGCCCTGTATCTCAACTTCATAATCTAAACACTACAACGAGAACCAAACATTGGATGAAAAGAAAATTAGACTAAGCAAAACTAATGAGCCTATCAAACAATATTTTATGTTGCATAAGGAGAGTAGTGTATAGAAGATAAAGTGTGAGAAACATTCAGGTTTCTATCTGAGTCTTTTACTTAGCTGTAGACCTTGAGCAGATCTACTTAAAACTTTCTGTGCACGGGGGCTGTCAAATGGAGATAACAGTACCCTACTCCTAGCGCTCCTTTGAAACCAAATGAGATAATGTATGTAAAGGGCTTAGCACAGTGCATGGGACTAAAGTCAATAAATATAGCTATACTTTATTATGCATCAAAATTTTTTAAATGCTATTTTTACTTTAGGTAGAATTATTTACAGTAACAATATGGACTGGTCTTTTCCTCCAAAGTACACAACGTATTTCAGGACAGACTTCTTCAAGCAGAGAGAAGTACTACAGGGACTGAATATAGTTAAACTAATTGGATGAAAGCTCAGAATGCTTCATATGTCAAATTCTCCACTAGAAATCACTATGCTTCCAGAAAATATGTCATACTTCTGAGTCAATGGGCAATAAACGGTAATACATAGAATATTTTTGTATTAAAAAAAAAAAAGTTAAACTCCCAGATCTGAGCTTTTAAAGTCACTAACAAATTATGCACCCAGGGAACGAACTTACTCTCACGTGCAGTTCAAGCATGCCTTAAGCACTACTTCATAAACATGACCACCTTAATGGGTTTTGTGGCATTTCAAAAACAAAAATCTCTTTATCTAGATAGATGTAAATATTTCACCATCATAGATGAGAAAAAGGCATTTTAAGGAAGCAGTAAATTCTCCACTTTGAGTCGATCTACTGGCTAATTAAATTATTTTATGGTGAGTGAGAAGGCTGATATTCAGAGAGTGATATATTTAAAGTGAAAGGAAAGGGATGGTCTAAAATATACCATCAATTAACTTACTTAGAAGCTCTTCTTAAAACAAGAAAGGTGCTAGGGACTTGCAAACATGGGGATATTCAAAATGAGGCTACTAATAACTGCCTTGAAATAGTCAGATAACCAACTGTCTAAAGATGCAACCAGCCATTATTTAACAATTCCTCATAAGAAGTATTCAGCTACTTTGGTTAGCTGTCATTTTCAATATCATAACTTATAGAAGTTAGACTTCCTTCTTAAACCTGTGTCCTGTATTTCACTTTCTGTGTTATGAAAACATAATACACTCAAGCTTTTTATCGAGTGTTTCTGCATTTTCTAAAAACGCAGTGTTTAAGAGTCTATTTTCAATTTCAAAACATTATCTAAACATTGCATGTTAGCTCATGTGAAACTACGGAAAATTATAAAGATTTTCTTTATTCAAATGTTGACTAAAGTTACTGATATACAAAGTTCCATTATTGCTACCTAAAATTTTACCATGTGCATATGAAAAACATTTTACTTATTGACCATCTCTTTTGAGCCATATATTTTGAGAATTTTGTAGTGTCCATTAATATGAAAAATACTTTCAAAATGAAATACAATGAACGCAAAGAATGCATACTGCTTTATATAACAAAGTTTTTTTCTTAGAGAAAGACAATCTGTTTCTAATTTTGATTATATAGTCAAGTATTTTTCTGCTTAAAAAGGAAGACCTATGCTATGAAAAATAAGAAACATCTTAAAAATTTAAATAAAAAATAATTTATAAAATTCAGTATGGATGTCCTCAAAATGTAAAAATGGAGTGAAATAAAAAAAAAAACAATTGCAGGGAATTTGTTTATTGAGCATTAATGTTAACACTTTAAATTAAGTAGTCACTTATGAGTTTTCTTTGTTACTGTCCTGTCAATGGACATAACGGAAAATATTGCACAGAACTCAAACATGGAAATAATAATAAAATATCTAAGCAACAAATATATGTTTTACATTTAAAAAATTAATCCAAACAAAATAATTTGAAGCACTTTTCTGATTTGGAAGTCTTAAAGTGTTCTCTCATGTTTTATTTGATATTTTTTTCCCTTTTTAATTTTTTTACAAATTGACACTGTGTACAAAGAGTTCAAGTGGCCAGTAAAACTACTGCTTTAAAATTGTTGGCTTTAAGTAACAGAGGTATAATTTGAATTCACATCAGAGCTTTCTAAAATGGCAATAGTACAAGCATATGACTTTCTCTAGTATCCAAAACCTGTTCTGGCTTTCCTTTGGCTAAGGAATAGAAAATTAGACAGCCTTCTAAAGCTGCCACAATTTCCTAAAATGCTTTGACAAAAGTTGGCATACTTCATTTCTCTTGCTTACCCTGATAACACTGGGCTAAACAGAAAATGAAGAAAATTCAGTCAATAGTAACTTAAACAGTAGCTAGCTCGCTCTGGACCTGGAAGTTTGGGTAAAGCTGATGAACATTCAGAAACATATTTCTTTTCTTTTTTTTTTTTGCGGTACGCGGGCCTCTCACTGTTGTGGCCTCTCCCGTTGCGGAGCACAGGCTCTGGACACGCAGGCTCAGCGGCCATGGCTCACGGGCCTAGCCGCTCCGCGGCATGTGGGATCTTCCCAGACCGGGGCACGAACCCGTGTCCCCTGTATCGGCAGGCGGACTCTCAACCACTGCGCCACCAGGGAAGCCCCAGAAACATATTCTTAAAATTAGTTTTCCAAAATTAGGCCAAAAGCCTACATTAAAGGAAAAAGAAAAGTCAAGAATGAGTTGAACATTAAAGTTTATCTGTTCCTGAAGACTATGAAAAACACAATGAAAGCTGAAACACTACATATAGCTAAGAATGCATTCTCACAGAGCAAGTTTATAGTTTTTAGAGTAAAGATATTTCTAAATTTCTGCTTGATGTTTAAAATTTTATAAGTGATTTATTATGCCATCATATTAAGCCAATTCAATTAACTACATTCAGTAGGAATCGCTTCAGAAATGCCCTGAAAAAGGTAATGACAGAAACTACAGATTTAAAAAGCAACTAGTCCTTGCAAAGTTTATCTCGAGACTTAGAATATAATGCTAACTATCAATTCCCAATTCCTCTTAAAATAGAAGACTACCTGCATGTTTAGCCATTCCATCTTATTCCAGTTTTGCATAAAGGTAGAAATCTTAAAGGACTGCATTGTTGCTAAACACTGTCAATACTTCTCATATGCACCATTTAGACCATACCTCATTTTTTTACTTCCCTTGTAATATTAAAATAATGAATAAATATGGTCCTTTAATTAAGATCTTCCACCTTATCTTAAGCAAAATATAAAATAAGGTTTAATTTCTTGCTAGCATTGGCTTAAAAATCTGTTTACCAAATAAGAAATTGTAAACATTTAAGTTTTTTTTTTTACCCAGAAAGCAGATGTATTCTGATCCACTGCTAATACCTACATAAAACATTTCATCATTTTAGTTTTGTTTATAACATTTTTCTTGGAATAGTAGTATTGTTGTACCTCCGAAAAATCCAATCAACCAACTACAAAAATTATGCCCAATTGTTAATTAACCTTCTGAAAGAAGCAAAAAGTTCTCTAGAAAAACCTAAAATAACCGGATTCACAATTACCAGTGCTGAAAAGGTCATTGAAAATTGATAAATAATAAATGTAGTTTTGCTGGATTTTACCCATCTTTAGTGCAAAACAGGATGGTGAAATTTCCCAATGGACTATGTTAAAGAACATGAACCAGAACACTGGTAACATCTCATTTGCCTTCTGACACTAACATTTTCCAGGATGAAAACAATGACATATAGCTTTACAGAGTTTGAAATTTATAAGTTCAAAAACGGAATTAAAGTCCAACTTAAGGGAAAAGAGCAAAATATGCTTAGTAGTGTCCAAATTTCAAATAAAATCTCAAGGGTAAGTATGGCTGCTGTTTTTCTAAACAGTCATTTATCAATAAAATGTTGGCTGTGTCATAAGAAACCACCTGTGCTTTCTATCAACCAAGGCCTGCTGAAGTACAACACACTGCCCTTGTAAATTCAACCTCAGCTGAAATGTCGAGCAAGGCGGGCAGATCTATAGTCAGCACGAAGTTGTACGAAGGAGTGAAGAATGTTCTTGTCCAGATTAGCAAGTTGTTCTCCTGAGCAGACTTGCTTTAAATTATCTGGGTTTACTACCAGAAGATTGCAAAGTGCATGCAGAGTATCAAAAAGCTGTAATACCAGAGGAATCTGAATTGAGATAAGGGAAGGAAAAAAATAACATTGAAACAAGATAATGTTTAGTTTTACAATCAGTTTGTAAATTCTTCTCACTTACGTACTGTTATTCAGGACTTAACTAATGATGGAGAGTTCAATGTCAGAATTTTTTAAAGTTCCTGAAGCGTTAAAACTCAAATATTTCAGACATTATAAAACTCACTATAATCTTTTTGAAAAGATTCATATTATGCCAATTTTCTTAAATAGTAATAATCATTTATACTTTTGTAAACTAGAATTAGTTATCATTGATTTAGCAGGTTTCTTAAATAATTTAAACATTAAGGGAAACTGATTTCAGAGAAAGGTACATGAAGAAAGAACATATTTTCCTGATATCTGATATATGCAGCATTAGTCACGGGCGTTATTTAATAAGGTCATTCGGACTATGGAACTGAAATATGGCCTTGTCTAAAATAAAGCTCAAAGCAAAAATGTGTTAATATTGAAAATATGACTGCAACAATACTTTTTCAGTTAGGAAATGTTAGATCTGTTTCACTACAATGTCAACAAAAGTTATAAAATTTTCACTGATGATTATAAGTCAGTACACATTTTTTATGATCTGACTTATGTTCTTGAACCTATTTACAAGTTTGATATTTGTGAATACATACCTTGAAGTCTTTGGCACACTTCCTATATTCAGCAACATCACAAATTGCTAACATGCCACCCATACAACTATAGGAATATTGTTGAAGATGCTCATAAATAAGTCGATGAAAACGTACTCCAAGTTCCATCAAAACTGTATCCACATTCTTCCCATCCATGGAATTTTTAATCTTCTCCACTTGTTTTCTTACATAAGCACAGACTTTAACACAGGCCTGTAAAAATTTTTTCTATACTTATTACATAGAAATGTGTATTAGCTTAGCTAAGGGGAAAATACATATAGTTTCTCATTAATCTCTAAGTATAAAATAAAAAAACGTGGAGAATAAGATACATCAATGAAATGTTAACAAAAGTACAAACAAAGCAGATATTCTTAGTAGCATACGGAATCATTTTACTCACATTAGTATACTGAATCAAAACATTGTTTTCATCTTCTGGCTTAAAATCTGTTTTCTTTTGTTCTGCAGCCAAGATATGCTTCATTTGTCCAATCATACAATTTAATGTCCTAGAGAATTGAGAACACCATGTATTTGATCCATTTAATTTACTTTATATTTACTTTTATTTATATCATTTATAATAAATTAAATTATTTCATTTCATGTCACCATGAGACTATTTTACTATGGGTATACTTTAGATTTTAAAAAAGTAAATTCTAGGTCTTGACATCAAAGACCTCTTAGTTTTATTAGCTTCCTGCTCAAAACACAGGGCAAAGATTCATTTGCCCATTACTCTATTTAAGGAAATCTTAAAGATCTTAGAAGACTGTCACTAATTTGTTTCCTTAACAACTATATTTGGAGAATGCTTAGGAAGGCAGTAAGATAGAGGGGCTTATGAGGAATGGCCAAGGTTTAGAAGAACAGGTGAGAAGAACCCGAGTTTCACAGTCTAAGGACAAGCAGGAGGCTGAACAAGTGGTACTGAAGACTCAGTTGAGAAATGAGAGTATGTGTTTGTAATGGTACAAATAATGTTTGAGTTATGTGGCATTCTCCAACAGCAATCAGCCATCCGGTTATGGGAATAAAAGAGTCTGCATTAATCCAGATTTTAGGATCTGTAAGATAATTATGGTTAAAGGAAATAAATTTTAGGGTAATTACGAGGGAGTAATTAAAGAGATGGACCAAGCAATCTAAGCACAACAATGAATAAAATAAAGCTGGGAAAGGATAATAGATTGGCAAAAGACAAAGATATTAAGGGCTACAGTTCCTGTAACTAACTTATATTCAAATATGTTTTCTTGAATAGAAGAGAAAGGAGGAGAATTACAGTAAATAAAAATATGCCCAAACCTAGTAGCGTGGGCTTTAGAATTTGAGTCCCAAATATCCAGCATTATGATCTTGAGCAAACTACCTCATTTCTTTACGCTTTCATTTCCTCACCTGTAAAATGGGAATAGTATTTCCTACTTAATAAATGAAATTATACAGGTAAAGATTCTTGTACTGTGCCCGGCACATAGCAAATTCTTTTTTTTTTAAAAATAAATTTATTTATTTATCTATTCATTTATTTATTTTTGGCTGCATTGGGTCTTCATTGCTGTGCATGGGCTTTCTTTAGTTGCGGTGAGCAGGGGCTACTCTTCATTGTGGTGCATGGGCTTCTCATTGTGGTGGCTTCTCTTGTTGCGGAGCACGGGATCTAGGCACGCGGGCTTCAGTAGTTGTGGTGCGCGGGCTCAGTAGTTGTGGCTCGCGGGCTCAGTAGTTGTGGCACACAAGCTTCATTGCTCCGCGGCATGTGGGATCTTCCCGGACCAGGGCTCAAACCTGTGTCCCCTGAGTTGGCAGGCAGAATCTTAACCACTGTGCCACCAGGGAAGTCTGCAAATTCTTGATAAATATTGAGTTGGCCAAAAAGTTCGTTCGGGTTTTTCATGTTACAAAAACCCGAACAAACTTTCTGGCCAAACCAAATAGTAGCTATTATCATCATCAATAAATAAATGCCCACTATCATCTCAAAAGACAGAGATTCACTGCTCCATATTATGAACAGGTAATTAACTACAATAAACATTACAAAAATTTTTTTGAATGTAGAGTCTGCATTCACTTAATGGAAGTTACTTTTAGAAAATCAGTAAATTTATTTAAAGCATTTCAGATATTAGCCTGACAGTTCTAACTGAAAATAAAATCTTCTATGTTACATACCATTTTTAAGGAGTTTGGAGAGAGGGAGAGCGAGAGGGTGTGTGTGTGTATGTGTAGGAGGGGGCATTTACAAAAAAAAATATTAAATAGAATCTGCTTTAAAAGTAAGTCTAAACATACTGACTTCCATAAATAATAAACCTGGAAGGCAATAAAAACAACATTCTAATAAAGATGAAAGCAATATGTAAAAGTAAAATCAAACGTTATAGCAGGATGGTGGAATTAAAATGGACTTTCTTCTTCTCTGAAAATCATTTTCATGTTGTTACAATGGTGTTTTTACAATTTTAAAAAAATGCAAGAGATAGCACAGGGAGATCAGCTCGGTGCTTTTTGTGACCACCTAGAGGAGTGGGATAGGGAGGGTGGGAGGGAGGTACAAGAGGGAGAGGATATGGGGATATACATATACATATAACTGATATACTCTGTTATACAGTAGAAACTAACACAACATTGTAAAGCAATTATACTCCAATAAAGAGGCTAAAATTTTTTTTAAATAAAAAAATAAACACAACAACAAAAATGCAAGAGAAATAGTAAAACTAACAACTTGCCTGTCAATGCCAGTATCTAATTTCATCTCCATCTGTTCAATTATTTCTTTTTTCTTCTGAAGGCATTCAGATAACTTAGGAGAAGAGCTATTGAATGTTTAAAGGGGGAAAAAGATCACATTAGTAGCCTTACAATTCTAACAGTTTTTCATAGGCATATGTGTATAGCTATATACCTACACACATGCATACACACACACACACACATTATTTTAATTTGCTCCCCAATCCAAGAAGCATATAAATAGTAAAGTAATTATTTAGTATTCACTATGCCCAATTCATTACAATAGTCATGCTAGGAAAAATTAACCCGTTAAAAGAGAAGGAAGAGGAGGATTTAGATTTATTACTTTCATCTGTGAGGAGACATCCCTTTAGAATATAAATATGTGATTTTGAAATTCTGAAATTATTTGGTTTCCTTTTTAATTAAATTTCTGGTATTTCAGTAAGAAAAATCACAAAGTCTTGAGAATATCGCAAATTATACTAACTAAAATTTGCAGACTAACACCCAATTCAATTGTATTTAGCTTTCCTATATTAAAAAAAACGAAAAACAAAACCAACTTGGTAGCCATATTTACCTTCTGAATATTACCTAAATGTCAAAAAACACCCAAAATATTAAAGAATATGCAACCCTAATAATTACGTGAATTCTTTGTTATGTGACATTAGAGCTCTTTAAAAAGTAAATTTCCTTTCAAAATGTGATTCAGGGATCACAAGTAATCTTTATCTTTGAGATCATTTCTAGACTAATTATTTCTTGGCATATCAACGTTTATACAAAATGTCTAGAATTTTATCTTCTATATGAATATTCATCCTCTTTAATTATAGTACTACACATACAATTTTAAAAATCACGTTCACATATACACTACCTTATTTAATCCTTACATGCTTTAAAAGTTCACATAAATTGATAGGAAGATATAAACCAAACCTCATTTAATGCCTCATCAAAACCTGTCCTATTAATCTCATAAAATTGTTATTGTACATCTTTTTATTATAATAAATGGGAACAAGCTAGAAGTTGTCTTTCATATCAGATTTAGGTTTATGACACATTCAGTAAACCAAAATTAATACCACAGAAGGAAAACAGGAAGGCAAGGAAGAGGAAAAGGGCTTTTACTTATTTCACACCTTCCTGTTCCTGTTTATGTTTTAACGAACATCTATTACTTTTAAATTTTAACAAGAAGTAGAATACTGTAATATTCATTGTAACACCAATGAAAATCAGACAATTTGACTAACCTTATTAGTGGCATAAGGTGATCATTAAACTGCTTGTCAAAAAGATGAAAAACAGTATTGGCCTGGTGCACAACATCCAAAAAATAGAGATTTGCATTCCTAGAATCTGAAGAAGGAATTCCTAAAGTTGGAAGGCATGTGTATGTTAGAATCATATTAAAGAAATTCATGTAAGCAACAGAAAAAAGAATGTGGTTTTATATATACAACATGCATAAAAGTAACTGCTGTTTCATTAAATCAGCAATAATTTTTGTGGACAGAAGAGTAAAATTAAGCTTGTTAATAATTTAATAAAATTCATCCAAAGTTTTTACATCCAAATTTTCACTATCTACTCAAGTCTTCATTATTTGTGGAGATAAAAAATAAATAAATAAATCAATAAATGAATCATCTTGGACTATACCTTCTCCTTCCCTTTTCTGCCCTCTTATGCGCAATGATTCATGAGCCATGAATACGCTTCTACCATTTTTCTTATAACTATTTTTCTTATAACCAGGCCTCTTTACCTCTGATAACAGTTAAAATAATTTTCTTATTAGTATCCTGGTTCAAATCTCCTTATCTTTTATGCTATATATTGTTGCCATAATAATGTATTTAACATATTTCACTCACCATGTTCTCTACTATTTCCTCAAAAATAATTCAAAGTCTCCTCACTGTCAAAATAATAAATTCCAGATTTTCAGCACTGTATTCAAGCCACTTCACATTCTGACCCCAAAACAGACAGCTGATCTCTCCAGGTTTGTTTCCTCTCTTGTAAGAGAGTAATAGTTAAACTCTAAGGTCCCTACTAACCACAGACATTTATGTTTCTAGCTAAAGTTCAAAGACATAAGGGGCTAGGAAAAATACTCACAGAAAATGAGAAAACAAAAGTTTAATACCTAGAGTTCTTTACAGGAGGAGGATTTTTTTTCAAAGTTTTAAAAATGGAAAATAAAGGTGTTTTATTTTCCCATAAACGACAAAATCACCAACTGATAAGAAAATTAAAGGCTCCCACACAAATTTACAAGAGAAAAAAATAAAGTCAATACACATGTAGAAAATACTAATCCTTGCTATTAATGAAAGGCATGAAAAGGCAATAGTGATGTACATTTTTAACCACTAAATTATTAAAATTTTTAAAGAATATTTAGTGGTGTGCAGAATAGCTGGTATAATCATACATGCCAGCAGCAGTATAGATTAGTGGGAAAAAAACCCTTAGGAAAATCGTTTATACGTATAAAAATTTTTTTAATTTGCAATACACTTTGATCTGGTAATTTCACTTCCAGAATTTTATCCAAAGAAAATAATTCAAAATAAGGAAAACACTTTAAGCTCTACAATTGTTCACTGTAGCATTATTTATACTACTAAATTGCTGAAAAGATCCAAGGTGTCTAATAATAGGGGGTGGTTAACTTTATAATATATATGCATGACAGAATTTTGTAAAATCATTAGAAATAACAGCAGTATGTACTAACTAAATAGCTGCATGGAAAATGTTTATGAGTATAAGGGACATTCCCATCCTACCAGGAAATTTTTTAAGCCCTTCCAAATTATGAATACTGCTATTAAAATGAATAAGCTAGGCTTCCATACTAGGTAAAGAACAACTCCTTCATACCATATAGAATCAAATTCATGTTACTTTTTTATTATCTTCTTTAATCTTCACATCTTTGAGGTGGATATTATTATCCCAATACAAATAACCACATTAGCTTATTTGTAAATGGCAAATGTTAAATACTTGATGTCAAGTTTCTGCTGTATTGGGTGGAGTAGGGGGGGAAGCAGGCTACAAATGCTTATCTATGTCCTGCAGGTTAAAAAAAAAAAAAAGGGTAAGAATAAACCACAAGGTTACTGAATTATGGGTAATTTTGCTTAACCTTAGAAACTTTATGGAATGAAGTTATATACAAACATTTTTGAGCATGTGCTATGTGCTTTCTAGGTGCCTATAATGGCAATTAAGACAGATAAGATTCTTAAGACAGGTAAGATTCCCATGAAGTTCACTATTCAAGAGAACTTACATGCTGTTCTCTCTACTTAAAATACTCTTTCTCCAAATATTCAATTTACTCCTTCGCTTCATTCAGCTCTCTGGTTCATGTCTCCTCAGAGAGGCCTTTTCTGACCAGCCTTTCTAAAAAAGCCCTCTGCCCCTGAATTCCCCATCCTACCTCCCATTACTATTCTCTATTCCTTACTCAATTTTATTTTTATTCATTGCACTTACTAGTCATTTGTCTATCTTTTCCACAAGAATGTAAGCTGCATGAGTACAAGGTTAAGGACTTAATAAGCATGTGTTCAATGAATGAATTCTGGTGAGTGAGGCAGATATTAACAAGTGAAAATTTCATTGTAACAAGTGCTATGAAAAAAGTTAATTCAATGATGAAATAATGTGTAACTAGGCTGGGAAAGGGGTGTCACTTTAGCTAGGTCGATCAGCAAAGGCCTCTCTAAGAAGGTAGCACCTTAGCTAAGATCAGAAGGGTGAAAAGCCAGACATGAGAAGAGCTGAAGGAAAAGGATTGGGGGGTAGGGAGATACCAAGTGCAAAGAACCTGAGTGAGGAAAATGAATGAAGACCAAAGGGGCTGGGGTAGTGAGGGGAAATGCAATATGAGATGAAGATGAATATATAAGAGGCCAGATCAAAAGCTATACTTTCATAAAGAGTTTTTTGTTGTTTTTCCCCTAAGACTAACAGGAAACCACTAAAGGGTCTTAAGCAAGAAATTTTAAGATCCTTGAATTTATAACATAACTGTTACATGGAGTCAGTTATTTGGAAAGGTAAGAATGTACACAAAGAGACCAGTTAGGAATGGACAGAGATGATAATCTTTAAATCAGGGTGGCATCAGCAAAAATGGAGAAAAGTAGACGAATTTGAGTTATGTTTCGCAGTATACAGACAGGATTTGCTGATAGACTGGCTATCAGGTTTGATGAAAAGAAGAATTATGACAACTCCGGGGTTTGGGCCTTGAGCAAACAGTAAATAGTAATGCCTTTTAAAGACATGGAAAAGAAGGGGAAAGGAAGAAGTTTAGGTGGAAGATAAAGAGTTTCATTTGGGATATATTAAATTTGAGATGCACACAGAACAGGTGAGAGAGGTCAAGGAGGCAACTGAATTAATGGGACTGGAATTTAGGGAAGAAGTCATTATCCTATTAATACCAGTAAACCCAGAAGACCAAAAATAAAAGAAAAAATTTTATATGAATCTATTCCTCTCCAGGCTTATTTTGAAAAGGCTTACTTTCCTTTCTAAATCTTACTTTACTCAACTGTCTCAACCAGAATTGCTGTCACTTCCATTTCTGCTCCTTTGGCACTTCATAGCTTACAGCATTGTATTACATTCTTCCATTCACTGTAGTGACTCATGTAGCCCTGGTCAATGTAAGCAATATGAGAACTGTGTCTTTCTATAGCTTCTAGCATCTGACAAATCCTTGTTACAGAAGCTCAAAAAGCATTTTGCTGCACTGAACTGCTTTCGACAGATAGAGCTGAATATATATAAAACAACATTATGCATAGTTTAACCGAATAGGATCAAAGGAATTTAACACGAAGTATAACACAAGTAAATACACTTACCAGCAAGTCCTGTTTCCAAGGCATAATCAATATGTTCAATACATAAAAATTCCACAAGAATGGTAAAAATTCTAAAGGCATTCCTTGGTAAATCAGAAGGATCAGAGAGCTTTAAAAACAAAAACCAAATACATCATTCCTCAAGTTTACCTTTAAAAAAAGGCAATACTTTTCTTTTTTTTTAGCAATCAACTTTGTATAAGACATAGTCAGTATTCAGGCATCAAAATGATAACTTAAAACTCTTCCTGCCCACCCAAAATGCCTTTCTCATATACATACAGTTACAATGCTCCGTGTCTGTCTACAACTCTCCTGGCTTAGACTAGATCAATGTTTTTCTGACCTGGATTGTAACCCATTAGTGGACTGTGACAAGAAAGAGAGAAGAGAAGAGAGACCCAATAGAAAATAATGTCTAAAGTACACATTAAAACCAAATATGTTTTAATGAAATAAACACATATAAACATAACATACACACACACATAAATACATATAATAAATGTACACTCAACTGCCATGTAAAGTGCCTTTCTTATTGTGAGTCACAGTAAAAGAATTTTGAGAGCCGCCAAATGAACAAATGCTATTCTAGTAAAACTCAGAACAAAAAGGATTCTTTATTTTATTGGAGGGTGGGGATGGGAAATCAATAACAGACACACTATAAAATACGACAGGCTCAAATCCCACTTTCATCAATTCCTGGTTGAGTGAACCCTTGAGATGTTATTTAACCCCACCAAGCCTCAATTTCTTCATCTGTAAGGTAGGAATAATATTAATAGTATTTATATCCTAGCCCTGAGGTGAAAATAAAGTATGAAAATGCATGTAAGGTATTTTTAGCTCAATGTTTGGCACATAATAGGTTCACAATAATGAATTTTCATTTTGATGTTGATGTTGCTGCTGCTGATTAACTACTTAGTAAAGGAATTATTAGCAATTATGCTGAGAAAATTAAATCCCTCTTTAAAAGTTAGAAAATTACCTCTCAACTTCTTATAACTGCTTCCTATATTATTTATCAATTGATTGTTGCCTATTTGTAGTCTCCATTTGTGATCCACTCTCAGAGTAATGGGCACTGAAGTGCATAACCCACTTTAAATTCCCTAAATCTCTACTGATTATAAATACTAATTTGGTATTACTCAATTCCCTTCCTGGTCTTCTTAATACAATCCTAACCTTTACCCTTCATCAGTCTCTCTACCACAACCCTCACCTTCCTTCTTTGCTCACTGATGCTTAACAAATGCCCTTAGCAAGCCACAAAGCATAAATTTAATTTTTCACATTCCTCCTCTCTACATCCGTACATTCATGCATAACTCATTGAAGAGGTAGACTGAATATGTGTAAGGATATAAAAGACATAAACAACATTGTTAATCAACTGGACCTAACTGATATTCATAGAATACGCTATCCAACAACATCAGGATATACATTTTCTTTAAGTATTCATAAAACACTTACCAAGATGGATCATATTCTGGGCTAAAAAACAAGTCTTGATAAATTTAAAATGGATTCATATCGCACAAAGTATGTCCTCTAACCACAACGGAATCAAATTTAAATCAACAGAAAGACATCTAAAAAATCCCCTAATATCTGGAAATGAAATAACACACTTCTAAGCCACTCTTGGGCCAAAAGAAATCAAAAGGGAAATTTAAAAGTATTCTGAACTGAATGAAAATAAATACAACAAATTAAAATTTGTGGTATGCAGCTAAAGCAGTACCTTAAAGGGAAATTTATAAGACTAAATGCCTCTATTAGAAAATAAGAAAGGTCTCTAATCAATGTCTCACCTCCACCTTAAAAAACTAGAAAAAGAAAGAAATGAAACCCAAGTAAGCAGAAGGAAAAGACGTAATAAAGAGTGGAAATCAATGAAATACAAAACAGAAAACAGAAAAGTCAATGATACCAAAAGCTGATTCTCTGGGGAAACCAATAAAACTGATAAACCTCCAGCCAGAATGATCACACACAAAAAAATACCAATCATCAAAAATGAATAAGAGACATCGCTAAAGATTCTACAAACGTTAAAAAGATAATAAGCTACTATATATAAAATAAACAACAAGGTCCTACTGTAAAGCAGAGGGAACTATATTCAATATCTTGTAATAACCTATATTGAAAAATATATATATTATGTATATATAACTGAATCACTTTGCTATACACCAGAAACTTAACACTGTAAACAAATTATACTTCAATTAAAAATCACACAGACACAAAATCAATTGACCATAAAAAAAAGATAATAAGGCAATACCATGAACATCTTAATCCCAATAAATTCAACAATTTGTGTGAAATATACAAATCTTAAAAGACACAAACTACCAAAGCTCACTTAAAAATAAACAGGTAACTAAAATAGCTCCATATCTACTAGAGAAGTTAATTTGTAGTTTAAAACCCTCACAAAGTTAAAAACTGCAGGCCCAAATGACTTCACTGGTGAGTTCTACCAAATATTTAAGGAAAATATAACACCAATTTTACATAAACTCTTCCAGAATATTGAAGAGGAAGGAACACTTTCCAACTTATTCTATGAGGCAAACATCACCCTGATACCAAAACTACACAAAGACATTACAAGAAAAAAATATGTATACATCAATATCCCTCTTGAAGGCAAACACAAAAATTCTTAACAAAAGTTTAGCAAACCTAATCCAACCATACATAAATAGGATAATACATGATGACCAATGGGGTTTATCAAAGGAATGAAAAGTTAACATTTGGAAATCAATGTAATCCAACCACATTAACAGAACAACAACAAAAAAAGCATTTGACAAAGTCTAACATCTAATCCTTATAAAAACACCCAGAAAACTAGTAATAAAAGAATTTCATCAATCTGATAAACAGCATCTATGAAAAACAAATGGGACCTAATTAAACTTAAAAGATTTTACACAGCAAAGGAAACCATAAACAAAACTAAAAGACAACCTACAGAATGGGAGAAAACATTTACAAATGATGCGACTAACAAGGGATTAATTTCCAAAATATACAAACAGCTCATGCAGCTCAGTAACAAAAAAACCAACAACCTAATCAAAACATGGGCAGATGACCTAAATAGACATTTCTCCAAAGAAGACATACAGATGGCCAAGAGGCACATGAAAAGATGCTCAACATCATTAATTATTAGAGAAAGGCAAATCAAAACTACAATGAGGTATCACCTCACACCAGTCAGAATGGCCATCATCAAAAAGTCGATACATAATAAATGCTGGAGAGGGTATGGAGAAAAGGAAACCCTCCTACACTGCTGGTGGGAATGTAAATTGGTAAATGTAAATTGCAGCCACTATGGAGAACAGTATGGAGGTTCTGTAAAAATGAACTTATTTCCAAAACAGAAAGAGACTCACAGACACAGAAAACAAGCTTATGGTTACCGAAGGGGAAAGCGGGAGGCGAGAGGGATAAATTAGGAGGCTGGGATTAACATATACACACTACTATGTATAAAACAGATAACCTGGGCTTCCCTGGTGGCGCAGTGGTTGAGAGTCCGCCTGCCGATGCATGGGACACGGGTTCGTGCCCCGGTTTGGGAAGATCCCACATGCTGTGGAGCGGCTAGGCCCGTGAGCCACGGCCGCTGAGCCTGCGTGTCCAGAGCCTGTGCTCCGCAACGGGAGAGGCCACAACAGTGAGAGGCCCGCATACCACACACACAAAAAAAACAACAGATAACCAACAAGGACCTACTGTATAGCACAGGGAACTATATTCAATATTATGTAATAACCTATAAGGTTACATATTTATATGTATACATATCGCTGTGCTGTACACCTGAAAGTTACATGATATTGTAAATCAACTATATGTCAACAGGGGCTTCCATGGTGGTGCAGTGGTCAAGAATCTGCCTGCCAGTGCAGGGGACAGGGTTCAAGCCCTGGTCTGGGAAGATCCCACATGCCACGGAGCAACTAAGCCCACGCACCACAACTACCAAGCCTGGGCTCTAGAGCCCTCGAGCCACAACTACTGAAGCCTGCGCACCTAGAGCCCATGCTCCCCAACAAGAGAAACCACCACAATGAGAAGGCTGTGCACCTCAATGAAGAGTAGCCCCTGCTCGCCACAACTAGAGAAAGCCCGTGCACAGCAATGAAGACACAACACAACCAAAAATAAATAAATAAATAAATAAATAAAATTTAAAAACCTATACATCAATAAAAAAAATTAAAAAAAAGAAAAACCTACAGTTAGCATCATATTAATGATAAAGACAAGAATAATGCAGGGTATAGGGAGGGTGGGAGGGAGAAGCAAGAGGGAGGGGATATGTGGATATATGTATACGTATAGCTGATTCACTTTGTTATATGGCAGAAACTAACACACCAGTGTAAAGCAATTATACTCCAATAAAGATGTTTAAAAAAAAGATTAAAAAACAAACAAACAAACAAAAACAATAATGCAAGGTATATGCTCTCGCCACTTAGAGTCAGCATTGTATTGGATGTTCTCACCAGGGCAATAAGGCAAGAGACAAAACAACAGGCATCTATATTGAAAGGAATAAGTAAAACTGACTTTATTGGCAGAAAACATGATATTCTATACAGAAAATTCTCTGGAATCTACAAAAAATGCTATTAGAGTGAGTTTAGTCAGGTTGCAGGTACAAAATCAACATATAAAAAGCAACTGTATTTGAGAACTCAATATTGCTAAGACGTCAATTCTCCACAAACAGAACTATAGATTCAAAGCAATTCCAGTCAAAATCTCAAACTTTTTTTCCCCAGAAAATGAAAAATTGATTATCAGACTTATATGAAAACGCTTTCTATGGTAATGTTAGAGGACTCACACTACCTGATTCAAGATTTATAGTTACAGTGATCAAAACAGTGTAGTATTAAACTTCCAGAAGAAAACATAGGCAGTACATAGGTCTTAGCGATATTTTTTTGGATCTGTCTCCTCAGGAAAGGGAAACAAAAGCAAAAATAAACAAATGGGACACAATCAAACTTAAAAAGCTTTTGCACAATGAAGGAAACCATCAACAAAACAAAAAGGCAACATATTGAATGGGAAAAGATATTTGCAAATGATATGCAAGATAAGGGGTTAATATCCAAAATATATAAAAAACTCATACAACTCAATATCCAAAAAAAACCTGATTAAAAAATGGGCAGAGAATCTGAACAGACATTTTTCCAAAGGAGACAAACAGATGGCTAACAGGCAGATGAAAAGATGCTCAACATCACTGATCATCAGAGAAATGCAAATCAAAACCACAATGAGATACCATGTCACACCTCATACAGAATGGCTATCAAGTCTACAAACAACAAATGTTGGCAAGGATGTGAAGAAAAAGAACCCTGTACAATGTTAGTAGGAATGTAAACATTCCTACTGGCACAGCCACTATGAAAAACAGTATGGAGGTTCCTCAAAAAACTGAAAATAGAACTACCATATGACCCAGCAATTCCATACCTGGGTATATATCCAAAAAAACCAAAAACACTAATTCCAAAAGATACATGCACCCCAATAGTCAGAGCAGCATTAGTTACAACTGCCAAGATACAGAAGCAACCTACGTGTCCATCAGCAGATGAATGGATAAAGAAGATGTGGTATATATATACAAGGGAATACTACTCAGCCATTAAAAAAAATGAAATTTTGCCATTTGCAGCAACATGGATGGACTCGGAGGGCATTATGCTAAGTGAAATAAGTCATACAGAAAAAGACAAATACTGTATGATATCACTTATATGTGGAATCTAAAAAAATGCAACGGACTAATGATACAACAAAAAAGAAGCAGACTCACAGATGCAGAGAACAAACTAGTGGTTACAGAGCAGGGGGGCAGGGGGCAATGTAAGGGTTGGGGAGTGGCAGGCAGAAACCACTGGGGGTAAGATAGGCTCAAGGTATTGACAATGTGGGGAATATAGCCAATATTTTCTAATAACTGTAAATGGAAAGTAACCCTTCAAAATTGTTGAAAATTTTTAAAAATATGTATTTTTTTAAAAAGAAAGAAAACTTAAGGAAATAAACAAAAGAAAGAAAATATAAGAGGAAATCTTTGTGACCTTAGGTTAGGCAAAGATTCCTTAAATATGATACCAAAAATACCTCCCATAACAGAAAAGTGTTAAATTGGATATCATCAAAATTAACAACTTCTATTCTTTGAAATACTCTTTAGATATGAAAAAGACAAGCCACAGACTGAAAGAAAACATTTGTAAATCATATATCGAATAAATGAATTTTAACCAGATATACAACTGTCAAAAAATAAGAAAACAGACAACCCAATTTTAAAAAACGCATGCAAAATACACCAACTAATATACATGAATGGCAAACAAATGCAAGAAAAGATGCTCATATTTAGTCATTAGGAAAATGCCAACTAAAACCATAGTAAGGTATCATTACATACCTTATTAGGCTCTAAAATAAAGACTGATCATACCAAATGTTGGAAATCATGTGGAACAAATGCAACTCTCTCATATACTGCTGGTAAGAATGTCAAACGAAACAACTTTGAAAAACAGTTTGGCAGTTTCGTAAAAAGAATTACCGTATCACATCATATAGCTACTCAGGAGAAATGAAAGCATATGTCTGCATCAAGACATATGCATGAATATTCACAGCAGCTTCATTTGTAATAGTCAAACACTGGAGCCAATCTAAACTGCCATCAATAAATAAATGGATAAACAAATTGTGGCATATTCATTAAATAAAATACTACTCAGCAATAGAAGAACATACTAATTAATACACACAACATGAATGAATTTCAAAATATTTATGCTGAGTTAAAGAATCCAGAAACACATGTATACACTATAATATACTATAACCCCATTTATTAAAAATTCTAGAAAATTAATCAATTTCTTGAAAAATCCTATTTAGCTTTCAAGACTCAGTACTGAAGCAACCCCTTCTTTTTGAAAACGAATCTATAGTGAAGCAGATCAGCAGTTGCCCAAGGACAGAAATAGAGGCGAAAGGGAGATTTTAAAAGGGCAGAAGGAAACTTTTGGAGGTGATGGATCTGTTCATTATCTTGACTGCGTTACAGTTTCACAAATGTACACATAATTTACCAAAGTTATCAAATTGTACAGTTCAAATACATGCAGCTTATTGAATGTCAATTATATCTCAAAGTTACTAAGTTTTTTAAAAAGAAAGGAAAAAAAACACCGATCTGCTCATTACACTGCTCTTTTTAATATCCTTTAAAGTTTCCATCATCACCTAACAAGGTCAAGTCCAAATTTCTAAGTATGGCATACAAAGAGTTTTTGTCTACATTTTCAACCTCCTGACTTATTACTCTCCCCATATCCTTTTTTAGTTCAAGCATTTCATACTGCGTGATTGATATCTGTATGTCTTTGTGTACGTAATTTTCTCTATTCCTGAAACAGCCTGCCAGAATCATCCTCTTGAAGATATCCTATTTAGCTTTCAAGATCCAGACCTCAAATGTCTCCTCCGTTTTAAAATCTTTCCTGATACTCTTTCTCAATTCCTTAACCAGGCAGAGCTGGTTGTTTCCTCTGGTCCCAGCAGTGTTTACCTACCTTGCACTAATTCTTTATATGTCTACCTCTTTTCTCCACACTATTCAAAAGTAATGTAAATGTCTTGTATTTATAACCTCAATGCCTAACATGGCAGATGGTACAAAGTAAACACAAAATAATGTTTGTTGGATCAGACTGCAATGAATTAAACTGATTTTCAATCTCATGGCTTTCCAGACAGAAGGTCATGATTTAGACCTAGTTGCTGTGATTCAAATAAATATGTTAACAGCTTCATGTTTGATGACCTGATGCTTTAGAAACATTTTAATATATTTCCAGTATTCAGAAAAGTACAGATATTACTGTACCAAATATATCCATCACCTACCCAGATGTGTCATATCTTAACATTTCTCCAAATATACTTCAGATTTTCTTCCTTTTGGGGGGCAGGAGTTGTCCAACATTATACATATAGATAACGTCCCTTAGGTATTCCTCCCAAGGCAACCACTACTCTGAAGTTGTTTATCACACCCATGCTTATGTATGCTCCTGAATAATATAAAGTATTGTTTTACTTTTTAAAATTTTATGTTGTGGTATACAGAATATATCTTTTCCCCATTTTGCTCTTTTCACTAAACATTGCATTTTTGAGATTTATTCATGCTGATGATACATGTAACTCTAGTTTAGTCATTTAAATTGGTATATAGTTTTCTAGTATATGAACAATGTTAGTTTATCAATCCTCTTTACAGCACACTTTGTTTCTAATTTTTCACCACGACAAACAACATAGCTTATGATGTTAGACATGTCATGTGCACCTACAAATTTCTCTAAGGAATTAACAAATTACTCTCCAAAGTATACCAATTTTTACTTCCATTGGCAGTGTATGAGAGCTTCTATTGCTCCACACCCTTACCAATACTTAGTATCAACAGACTTCTTAATTTTTGCCAACCTATCGAGAATGACAGTATTTTCCCCGTTTAAGTTTCATTTCCCCACTAGTGAGACTGAATATCTTATTGATAATTTATATTTTCTGTATTTATGTGTAGCCTTTGACTTGTTTTCTATTGATTTATATTTATATGTATAATTTATATTGATTTACTATCTATCAATATAAGTATATAGACAATATACATCAATACAAATAAAAAATTAAGACTGCCTCAACTCTCAACTTCATACTTAAGAAGTACGTACCTCAGTTTCTTCCTCTGTAAAACAGGAATAATAACCTCACAGAAATGTTACAATGATTAAATGAGTTAATAACATACCTAAACTGCTTGGAATAGTGCCTGGAACATAGTATGTGGTATACAATTATTAATCACTAACATTTGTTTTATAAATCTTCTGCTAGTGGGCTTCCCTGGTGGTGCAGTGGTTGAGAATCTGCCTGCTAATGCAGGGTACACGGGTTCGTGCCCTGGTCTGGGAGAATCCCACATGCCGCGGAGCAACTAGGCCCGTGAGCCACAACTACTTAGCCTGCGCGTCCGGAGCCTGTGCTCCGCAACAAGAGAGGCCACAACAGTGAGAGGCCTGCGCACAGCGATGAAGAGTGGCCCCCGCTTGCCAAAACTAGAGTAAGCCCTCGCACAGAAACGAAGACCCAACACAGCCAAAAATAAAAATAAATAAATTAAAAGAAGGCTCAACATTAAAAAAAAAAATCTTCTGCTAGTCATATTGGTTGCAAATACCTTCTCAGAGGCTGTGACTTATCTGTTACTTTGTTAAAGTATGTTTGTGAAAAAAATTCTAATTTTTTTTTTTTTTTTTTTTGCAGTAAGTGGGCCTCTCGCTGTTGTGGCCTCTCCCATTGCGGAGCACAGGCTCCGGACGCGCAGGCTCAGCGGCCATGGCTCACGGACCCAGCCGCTCCACGGCATGTGGGATCTTCCCGGACTGAGGCACAAACCCGTGTCCCCTGCATCAGCAGGCGGACTCTCAACCACTGCGCCACCAGGGAAGCCCAGAAATTCTAACTTTTAATGGAGTCAACTTTTCCTTTCCTTTGATATCTGTGTTCTTAAACATCCTTCTCTCCCTAATGCTCTATTTCTTTATAAGATAGGTCTAACTTTCCCTTTCATAACTTGATTTAATATCTCACTAAAGAAAATTTGACATGCTCAACTTTAAAATTATGTTAAAATATACTTCTAAATAACTTAAAAATTATTCTGTTCCCCAAGCAAAAGTCCTATTTTTTTATTACAATAAACAATTGTTCCTAACCAGAGAAAAATTAAAATACACAACTATATACAAATAAAATAAATTTACAATTACTCTTACCCTATGACATCTTTCAAAGGCTTGCTTGGTTTCTTGTAAAAGATTAACCACCACTTCTTGGGATAGGAAAGTCTCTCCATGAGTATCGATACTTGGCCCCAGTGGTAAGTTGGTACGCTGTCTAATTCTCTCTTTCAAATCTTGAATACTAGTGCATAATACCAACAAATGAAAAAAGAACACTACTATACACAGATTTCAATTTCAAATACTCTCAAACTTAGTATACATGAACTAAGAAAAAGAAAGAAGAAAGAAAAATAGACCAACAGCCAGGAAACCTAAAACTTCTAATTTCAGTAAGTAGTTCTGTAAAGTGAAGCAAGCATTAATCTCTAAACAGAAGACGTTCGTCTGAAAAATGAGTAGATTTGGAGTTATTATCTCTAAAGTCTCTTTCAACTCTACAATTCTGACTCAGTAGCCCAAAACTCCTTGTCTGGTTTCCTTAGGAAGTGGACTTTTCCAAATAAGTTAATATTCCAGATAACTAAATGGTCCTGCTTAAAACAAACTTTAAAATTTTAAAGATTTTTAAACATATTAACCCTTTAAACATATTGTACATTTCTTCATTATCATTAAACATAATTTAGCTTTTCTCAATGACTGAGGGTCATTAAGAACATTTATTACATGATAGTATCTTTAGAAAATTACTTTATTTTTTGGTCCTAGAATATATAGCTCCAGGCTGTGAACTAATTTTTCAAAACATTCTTATGATTGTTTTTTAGGTTTTCTCTTTTACTTACTACTGCCTTTGAGATGTCACTTCTTATTCCTAATTATAATCTCTCCATGATCATTATTTAATATATGACAAACTGGGAAACAAGAAAATGATTTGGGTGTGCGTTATGTGAACTGTCAACTCTGATTATATGGCTCCACAGAGGTCATTCTGATTCATCCAAAAATCAACTCAATTCCAGATAGTTGAGATCTAGATAACTCAGTTGCCACCAATTCTTACAGCAAATCATTTAATTTTATTCTAGTAGGTAAGTACATTCACGTTTTAATGTATTACTTAAATAATTTTATGCCCAAGTCATGAAAAAGCTCAGGGTACAAAATTGTGAACTATCTGCATTTTTTTTTTAACCACACCTGCAATAGCAGCAATAAAACAATGTGCTTCCTAGTCAATAACCTGGAATAATTTACTCAGTCTAAAAAAAGGAAGGAAGGCAGGCAGGCAGGAAGGGCATGAGGGACGAACTCTTTACGGTACTAGTATTCTGCTTTACATTTTAATAATGTTATGTAGGAACATTTCAACATGTGGCTTGAAGGACAGGATTTGATGAATGGTGTAAACAAACTGAATTTTAAAAATTCTTCACAGAAAATTCTAATGACTATCAATATTTCACAAGTTTGTCCAAATATAATAGCTTTTAATATCTTTAGTTTTAACTATAACATTTAACAAAAACACTTACCCTCCTGTGCCAATCGATCTCTTTTGATGGTTTTTTGAATCATAATAGCGCTGTAGGATCATAGCACTTCTGCTTTTCAAATATCCAGTCTCCACTTCAATATAGTTCTCCAAATAGGAAATGAAAATGGACTTGATAAGCTTAGACAAGAAAGTCTGTTTATCAGTACCTAAGTTAAACTCCATCAACTTGCTGGAAAGACTTGTGGTTCTTTTCATGCAAAAGGGAGAAAAAAGATTAATGTATATTGTAGGTATAGTAAAAATATTTAAGAAATACATATTTTTATACCGTGACTTTTTAATAACTTATGTTACACCACCATTTCTTAAACCCTGGGAAGTTACTCAGGATGCAGACAGCGACTGTATAGGGTTATATATATTAAGTAGAATGAATATTACAAACAACATCATGGTTTTGAAAACTACCATAAACTCCTAGAGATGACTCAGGAGAGGAAACTAAGGCAACCAACCAGACTAGAAATGGCAACAGTGGCAGAATGGCTTCAAGTATGCCATTCATGACATGGTACCCAAGTCAAAATACTGAGAAGTCTATGCGCTGTTCATTCTCTTTAGTCTTTGTCCCTGGACTTTCCTCTAATTTTCTGTTTCTCACTGTTGAAGACAGGCTCACAATAGTGCTGTTGCTGAGATGGACTTCCTGATTATAGGTACTTTTGAAAACCCTCTTCTCAAAGCGATGACAATAAAGAAAAGCAATAGAGTTGGAAAAAAAACTCCACATGAAGCTTCTACAAAGTATAACACTGCCATTTACAAAAGCACAAGACAAATTTTCACATCAGACTTAAGTCTGAAATTGTCATATAAGAGTTTGTCACTCTGGGGGCTTCCCTGGTGGCGCAGTGGTTAAGAATCTGCCTGCCAATGCAGGGGACACGCGTTTGAGCCCTGGTCCGGAAAGATCCCACATGCCGCAAAGCAAATAAGCCCATGCACCACAACTACTGAGCCTGCGCTCTACAGCCTGTGCTCCACAAGAGAAGCCACTGCAACGAGAAGCCCGGGCACCACAACAAAGAACAGCCCCCGGGCACCACAACAAAGAACAGCCCCCGTTCGCCGCAACTAGAGAAAGCCTGCACGCAGCAACAAAGACCCAACACAGCCAAAAATAAATAAAAATAAAATAAATAAATTTAAAAGAGAGTTTGTCACTCCCTTTCTCAACTTTTGAAGTTTTAACTGCAGATAAATGTAATAATACTAGTTCTTAAAGAAAAGAATTAAAGAATAATGAACTAGCTTACAATTAAAATCAGAAACAAAATTCTCAAGTCTTAAACAAGGTTTTTATATTTCATTAAAGTACATTAATATAAAGCATAATATCCAATTCCTTAAGTTAACATGCTAAGAATGCTGCTCTTGTACAATACTAGTCTATACAGCCGAGTATTTAATGTTAAAAGGTATATTGCTATCCAACAAACTGTTATTCAAAAATACCTGAATACTTCCCCATTTTCTATTTGAAAAAAAAAAAGTGAGATATTACTATTTTCTAATAATTAAAAATATACCTTGTATATAAATCGTAGAGACTTTTGAGATACTGCTCTGCATCGGACTTCCTACATTCTTCTAACTGGTCTTTCACAAAGCTCTAAAACAAAAAGTCAACATTCTGTCAATTAAGTAAATATTAAATTATATAGCCAATTTTTTTTTCTCTAGAATTACTCCACATTCTTGAACTGTTCTAACTTAAGATCCAGTGGAAAAGGCAATGCATAGAAAAGAGACCAATATAAAAAAAAATAGGTTTTTAATTTTTACTGCTTCTCATATTTACTCATACATCTTATCAGTGTTGGGAATAAGCATTAAGAATCTCAAATACCTTGTCTTTTGAAATCTGCCTATCCTGCCTCATGAAGTACATTGGGGAAAAAAAAAAAATCCCAAAAAACAAAACCTGAAGCTATATCAATATGGTCAATTCCTTAAAGCAGCTTTTCCCAAACTGTAGTCTAAGTAACACTAGTGTCCTTTGAGACACTACTGTAAAATTGGGAAATGCTGTACATTACATCTCCACTTCTAGAGAATCACAATACATATTAGTATCTTTAAAGGCTATTAAAAGTCCTGAATTGTGTTGTAAAGACAACACTTATTTAATGTTGCTCAATCCATTGGTAAACATAGTTTAGGAAATGTTGCCTTAAAGTACAGAGCTATAGAAGTCAAGGTTGTAAATGAAATTCCTGTGTTTTCTTTTAATCTTAGTACCATATTATAAAAAATTCTACAGACTGAGCTTGTAATTCTTGTTCAATTTCCAAAATGCCATCTATTGGTTAAGGTAAGAAACCAATAAAAATTAAAACTGAGGCTAACCTACCACACAACCTGATACATACGTAATTTCAAACACATCCTCTGATGACACTGAGTGATTAGCACCTTTTTTCTTAGTAAACAACAAAACATTTTTTTTTTTTTAAAGCATGACACTGTCATTCCTTTCTCCTACACTTAATAAGTGGATTACTATGCCTAAGGATATTATACAAACTAAATTTTAAAAACTTTTAAAACATAGAGGAAAAAAATCACATATTGCCTTAAGTACTTAGTCATTGTTTAAAATTACCTGTAGTTTGATTTCAAATACATTTTGAATAAGTTTAGCCAGTACTGTTTCTGGATTACTAAAGATATCTCCAACTTGTTTGTTCACCCGTTGACAGAGTATTGCTGCGTCTTCAAATATGTCATTTCTCAAGTAAGCACCCTAAACAGCAGAGGAATTTTACATTGAATATATAATTTTAAAATGCTTTCTAAAAACACAAATTAGCATAAAATAAAATAAAATACAATAAAGTGTACTGTTATGTTACCTCCTGGCACTGCTTTATATAAACATCAACACAATGGGAATAACCCTAGGAAGAAGAAAGAAATACACATCACTCTTTTGGTTCAATTATAACAATAATAACAACAATGTCAATAAAAGAGGTATTATATGTAATAAAGTTATGTCTATGCCTCAATAAATGGCCAACGGTAATAGCTACTCTCTGGTTCCTATGTTCCAAACTTAAGGTCAACCTTTCTTGCTTTTGAATTATTTCATCAAATGTTTGACTGAAAAAAAAAAATACATTAAATATGCAGAAGGCAGACAATATGATTTTCTATGTCAAACTACATAAAAATTCAGTGATAAAATATTAATATTATTGAATATAAGATCCTTATTTAAATAATATTAACTACCTAAAATTTAATAGCATTTCTGGAGAAAGATACAAATGTACATTCAAATTATTCCAAATAATGAAAATTATCACTGACTCATACAACTGGGGAAAAACAGAGACTATAATATATAGAATTCATATAACCTCTGTACTCTTTAAGACTAATCTGCCATTTTAAACTTTTACTATTTACCTTAAAATGGAGTAAAACAGCTGCTACTTCTCTCATTCTGGAGATTTCACCTCTTCTTTGAGCACCAGTAAACTCCTGTATCAGTTGGCATTCTAAGTCATGGTATTTACCTAAAAATAGAAAGTCATTCAGCTACAATGAGACAAAGTATCCAAGTTATATATGAGTATATGGTTTCTTTATAAATATAATGACTAGGAATCTAGCTTTCTTTTAAAAGAATTGCAAAAACTATATGAGATTATAGGTAGTGGATCAAAACCCGATAATATACTGTGGTATATAAATATGTATTTTCAAAACCAAAAATTCTTCCCAACTGGTAAAAAAGGTGAGCTCCTACAGTGTGACTGCCATTTATCACTGCTATATAAAAAAGCAGCTGGCTGGCAATATCGTTCTCAATGGTGAAAAACTGAAACCATTTCCTCTAAGATCAGGAACAAGACAAGGTTGTCCACACCCACCACTATTATTCAACATAGTTTTGGAAGTTTTAGCCAGAGCAATCAGAGAAGAAAAAGAAATAAAAGGATTCCAAATCAGAAAAGAAGAAGTAAAGCTGTCACTGTTTGCAGATGACATGATACTATACATAGAGAATCCTAAAGGTGTTACCAGAAAACTACTAGAGCTAATCAATGAATTTGGTAAAGTAGCAGGATACAAAATTAATGCACAGAAATCTCTCGCATTCCTATACACTAATGATGAAAAATCTAAAAGAGAAATTAAGGAAACATCCCCATTTACTAATGCAACAAAAAGAATAAAATACCTAGGAATAAACCTACCTAGGGAGACAAAAGACCTGTATGCAGAAAACTATAAGACACTGCTGAAAGAAATTAAAGATGATACAAACAGCTGGAGAGATATACCATGTTCTTGGATTGGAAGAATCAACAATGTGAAAATGACTATACTACCCAAAGCAATCTACAGATTCAATGCAATCCCTATCAAACTACCAATGGCATTTTTCACAGAACTAGAACAAAAAGTTTCACAATTTGTATGGAAACACAAAAGACCCCGAATAGCAAAAGCAATCTTGAGAAAGAAAAACAGAGCTGGAGGAATCAGGCTCCCAGGCTTCAGACTATGCTACAAAGCTACAGTAATCAAGGCAGTACGGTACTGGCACAAAAACAGAAATATAGATCAATGGAACAGGATAGAAAGCCCAGAGATAAACCCACGCACATATGGTCACCTTATTTTTGATAAAGGAGACAAGAATATACAGTGGAGAAAAGACAGCCTCTTCAATAAGTGGTGCTGGGAAAACTGGACAGGTACATGTAAAAGAATGAAATTAGAACACTCCCTAACACCATACACAAAAATAAACTCAAACTGGACTAAACACCTAAATGTAAGGTCAGACACTATAAAACTCTTAGAGGAAAACATAGGCAGAACACTCTATGACATAAATCACAGCAAGATCCTTTTTGACCCACCTCCTAGAGAAATGGAAATTAAAAACAAAAATAAACAAATGGGACCTAATGAAACTTCAAAGCTTTTGCACAGCAAAGGAAACCATAAACAAGACAAAAAGACAACCCTCAGAATGGGAGAAAATATTTGCAAATGAAGCAACTGACAAAGGATTCATCTCCAAAATTTACAAGCAGCTCATGCAGCTCAATATCAAAAAAACAAACAACCCAATCCCAAAATGGGTAGAAGACCTAAATAGACATTTCTCCAAAGAAGATATACAGATTGCCAACAAACACATGAAAGGATGCTCAACATCACTAATTATTAGAGAAATGCAAATCAAAACTACAATGAGGTATCACCTCACACCAGTCAGAATGGCCATCATCAAAAAATCTACAAACAATAAATGCTGGAGAGGGTGTGGAGAAAAGGGAACCCTCTTGCACTGCTGGTGGGAATGTGAATTGGTACAGCCACTATGGAGATCAGTATGGAGGTTCCTTAAAAAACTAAAAATAGAACTACCATACTACCCAGCAATCCTACTACTGGGCATATACCCTGAGAAAACCATAATTCAAAGAGTCATGTACCACAGTGTTCATTGCAGCTCTGTTTACAATAGCCAGGACATGGAAGCAACCCAAGTGTCCATCGAGAGATGAGTAGATAAAGATGTGGAACATATATACAATGGAATATTACTCAGCCATAAAAAGAAACGAAATTGAGTTATTTGTAGTGAGGTGGATGGACCTAGAGTCGGTCATACAGAGTGAATTAAGTCTGAAAGAGAAAAACAAATACTGTATGCTAACACGTATCTGTGGAATCTGAAAAAAAAAAAAAAAAAAAAAAAGGTTCTAATGAACCTAGGGGCAGGACAGGAATAAAGACAGAGGCATAGAGAATGGACTTGAGGACATGGGGAGGGGCAAGGTTAAGCTGGGATGAAGTGAGAGAGTAACACTGACATATATACAGTACCAAATGTAAAACAGATAGCTAGTGGGAAGCAGCTGCATAGCACAGGGAGATAAGCTCAGTCCTCTGTGACCACGTAGAGGGGTGGGATAGGGAGGGTGGGAACGAGACGCAATAGGGAAGAGATATGGGGATATGTGTATATGAATAGCTGATTCACTTTGTTATAAAGCAGAAACTTAACACACCATTGTAAAGCAATTATACTCCAATAAAGATGTTAAAAAAAAAAAAGCAGCTGCCTGGGAAAAGTCTTCTGGACATCATTTGTGATAGCAAGAGACAGGAAAAATCTTAAACCTGAATTTATGGAAAGGGTGAGCAGAATTATAAAACACTTTACTAGAGTTCAGATGCCTTTACTACAAACAATGGCAGATTCAATACCAAGGTACACCTTAAGACAACATGTGGTATTTGATTCACTACATTCTTGAGGCTATTACGGTACACTTTTGGGAAAACAGGTCGTCTCTGAACTTCAATGACTTCCCAAAACAGTGACTTAGACTACCAGGGGAGCCTGTAAATATAGCAGCTTTTCAAGAAATTCAGAATGATCTGCTTAAAATACAATCCAAAGATCAAGAATCAAGCTATCATGTAAGAAGTTAAATAGGTACTGAAATGGTCATTACAAGCTAGCTTTAAAAAAAGAGAACCTACATTAGGTCTGTATGTATGAATACAAAAACAATCCCCAAGATTAAATTAAAAACACAAGGTATGGAAGCTATTTGTATAGTATGCCAAGAACACAAGTTATGGAAGCTATTTGTATAGCATGCCACCAATTATTTTAAAATAAATACGGACAGCAGAACTAAATTCTACACATTATATACATGATCTATGTCTTATGCTTGTATATCCATAGAATATTCTGGAAGAATACTCAAGAAATTGATAATAGTTGTTTCAAGGAAGAGGAATCAAACTCAGGGATGGGGTGGGAGGATGACATTCTTCCCACTCTCTTCTTTTACTATTTTCTTTTTTTTATACAAGTAGTTTGATTACCTATCCAAAACAGTTAAATAAATAGAACCCCACTTACTTGCAATTTTGGATTTAACTTCTGAAAATCTGAAAGATAAAAACCAATGATGAGGTTCATTATTTGTGACAAATGTACCATAGTAATTTAAGATGTTAATAAAAGGGGAAACTGGTTTTGGGGGTACATAGGAACCCTCTATACTAAATGTTGTCAGAAAAAAAAGAAAGGAAGCGGGGGAGGGAGGGAGGGGAGGGAAAGACAAAGCCAGAGGTGAGAGAGTACTGATAGTAGGAAGCATGCCATGTAACAAAACTGAATTTGGGCAATCCAGATGGGGTCTCTGGTTCTCACTGAGGAAATTCACATTGAACAACCAATTTCCCCACCCCATTTTTTAAATTTTTTAATTTATTTTTTGATGTGGACCATTTTTTTTTAAAGTCTTTATTGAACTTGCTATAATATTGCTTCTATGTTTTGGTTTTTTGGCCCAGAGCCATGTGGGATCTTTAGCTCCAACCAGGGATCAAACCTGCACCCCCTGCATTAGAAGGCGAAGTCTTAACCACCGGACTACCAGGGAAGTCCCACCAATTCCCTTTTAAAGGGAGGAATTCTGTATGAGGCATTAACAACCCAGAAAGCCCCAACAACTGGGTTACTGTCCCTACTCATATTCACTGGCATTTTAAATTCACTTGATATTTGTCTATTTTCCCCTCAGCTGGGATTTCCTCATACGACGTTCCACTATTGTTACTTAAAGAAAAACAACTATAAAATAAGCATATACAAATGAGTTATTTTAAAACTAGAAAAATAAAATAGAAGCCATAAAAAGGACCCAGCAATGTGCCTAGCATTCAACCTCTGCAAATTCAAAAACTAAAATATCATACACTACCATACACTAGAACTTTTTTCAAATCATAAGTATCCAGGGGGAATGCACAACATGGAAAATTAATGTTGAGAGATCTTATGTGATTAGTTTGAAGACACAGGAGAGTGGCTGGCAAAAGAGATGCCAAAGACAGATGAAGAAGCTAATAATTTAAAGATCTATACAAAACTGATATCAAAGTCACAGTGGATCACAAAGTATGATAGGCCATACTGATCTTTGTGAAAAAATTAAACTTGATTAGGCTATATATATTCAATTCTAAGGCCTGATAGGCTAAAACAAAACTGTAAGAGAAGCATGCAATTGAGAAGCAGAAGATGAGTAGATGCCTCTGTGTTTGTAGGGGTGGGAGACAGATGAAGCCAACAATTATGATGCAGTTATTGTGAGCCACACATTTTACCCATTTAAGTAAATGGTTTAACTCTGAAATAAAGTTAAAGAGAGGTTTTCTGTGGGTGACATTAAAAATCATTGCTCATAATGCTGGACAAGTATGAAATTATTAATAATAGCTAAATGATAGATGATGATTACTGCTAATCCTTTATGATGATACAAAGTTCAGAGTAAAATAAGGTATATTTGGGGGTAGGGAATTCACTTTCACTCTATGTTTGGGACATAATGGACAAGCTTTAAGTATAGTAATACATTTACATTCTACCTGTACCTCAGGATTTTCAAGTATTACCAAAAGAATAAAATACGTATATTATCTGTTAAAAGGGAAGACATTTTTTCCAGATATTTAAATGGGAGAACCACTGTTAACAAGATTTTATTATAGAGTCTGACATTCCATGAACTAAAGGAAATCATGAAAGAATTTCCTTCTCAGTGAAGTTCTTTTAGGATGAAACCATTAATACCTAACTTAGCAATGGCCCCAGGGCCTTGCATCTAAAACAGGACTTCTTAACCTGAAGTCCCTAGGAAGGCGCCTACAGATAGGCTAAAGGGTCTAAACTCCATGAAATTGTATACAACGGCCTGTGTATCTGATTTTTTTAAGGAAATTTCATAGCTTTCACCAACTTTTCAAAGGTGCCCAAGACTCCTAAAAGCTTAAGAATTCTCATGTAGACAGAAGAAAAAGGAGCTCAAGAGCCCCATGTTTAAGCTTTCTCTGTCCCCTTCTAGTCTGTTGATCAAAGTCCAAAAAACAAAGAAAATTCAAAATCTTACTCCAATTTCAAAATTCTCCATCAATTTTTTTCAAAAGAAAAACATAAGATTGAAATTATTTCAAGATATATCATTAAATTTAGTTGTTAAGATACCACATTTTTTTCAATCAGCTATTACATACTGTACCTGTACAAAGGCAGTCCTCAATAAGTTCTTGTTGAATTAATGAGCAAAATCATACAGGAAAAAGTACAATTTTATTCTATACACTACACCATATACCCAAATTAGCTCCTGAGAAATAAACTTGCCTATCAAAAGGTAACTCTTGGGCAATTAGGTGCAACTTCTGAATGATGTCTGCTGCCTCCTTTATCTATTAAAAAACAAAAGCAATAATTTTACAAAACCTTTATACATATCAAAAAATAATTTTATATTTAAAAATAGTAATATTCTTCTATGTATGCCCACAGACCCTCACCCGAACAATTTTCTTTAAAAAACACAACAAATAAAATCTTATGAGCAACAGGAATACATCTGGGGTATCACCAATAATGAGTCAATAAAACATAAATATTTGTCATTATTGTACTGAAATCTTCTGATTTTATAATGCCACAATCCCTTCCCAATGAAACCTGCAGTTCAAGTTTACTCCGAATAAATTCAAATCATTGATTGCTGAAAGCAAGTTTAAGTATCTTCTGAGTTTGTGAAATGATAAACAAGATTTATAAAAATTCAGATCATACTGCTGTATAAATCCCATTTTAAGTGAAGAAAATAACAACAAAATGCCTGTCATTTAATGAACATATCAAGTTATAAAACTTGTTATAAAAGCAAAGATTACATTTAATATGAAGTTTCTAGAATGGAATATGGTAAAGAAATGTTTGTACTTATTCAAGTTGTGGAACTGAAGGATTTAGGCAAGGGGTCCAAAATTCTTAAAATGCAGACATTTGTGCTTATTCACACTAAATGTATAGGGGAGTTATATAATGTTTACTTTTTAAAACAAATTTCAAATAAGTATTGAGTTTTATTTTGGCACACCTTTAAGTAAATGATTTTATGATCATTCACTTTCTTTTACACTAAAAAAAAAAAGAAGAGAGAGACTCATACAAACGTGAAGGAAGAGCTGAGAACATTAACAAAGATCTTTCTAACCGAGTACTCACGTGAAGTCTGGCAAGCAACTATGGAAAACAAAAGCAGGACCAAACGATATTGTTGTTTTGCCCAACAATAGTGAATATAGATAGCATTTCTGCTTCAGTTATCTCTTCTCTCCTAGTCAGCATGTCACTGTCATTTGCAGTTACCAGATGCTCACTCTATTCTACTGAACATGGGCACAGATACCACTGCATTATCTCTTTTCACCATGCCATTTGGTTGTACTAGCAATGTCCACCCTTTTCTCCTCACCGATACTCCCTTCAGAAAGGACCTACATACATGTTTTATGTTCCTATCAGGAGTTTGTTCTTGCTGTTTCAAGAGATGGAAGTGTTTGCAAACTTCACTTAATATAGTAAGAAGTACAGCAGAGTAAATAACACTTGATTTTATGGAATTCCCATAGGCAATTATTTTATAAAAATTGTTTCAAGCACAAGTAGCTCTTAAGGTCATCCATCAGTTGAAATATACTATAAAAGTACAGAAGCTTTCAAAACCACAATCTAATAACTTGCTTATATCTGCTACTGATGTTAGGGTAAGGTGAGAGACCACCCATGCTAACAGGTTAAAGATAATCAGGGCCATCAGGCATTACCTACATGAAGAACATTAAGTTGTGATGCTAAGAAGAGAAACAACTAACATACTCTGTAATGACAGAGGTAAGAAGAAATATATACTATGGTCATAAAATGGGTTTTTTTTCCCAGAGAAGAAAATTAGAAGATTCTGAAAAGCAAAGATTAAAAAAAACAAAAATGACTTTGGAGCAGGAAGAAAAAGGAAAAAGATGGTTGTTAACTTTTCGCATTCTAATTCCTTCCAAAATCACACACCTCCCTAACTACATGGGTGATTTTCCTTTTCTTTCCATTGGGAAGGTGGCTGGCACACAGTGCAGAAATTGAGATACTTAGAAGTTTATCTAATAATTAGCAATCTAATACCATATATGATGTTCCTAAGTGTAGTTAACTGTGATAGTACCAGGCCAAAAGTAATGATTCAGCAGTAACCCAAAACTTATGGGAGATATGAGAGAAAAACAAGACAATTGGGAAAAGAGGACTAGAGTATAAGAAAAAAGGAACAAGATGAAAGAAAATGGGATATGGTAGAGAGTGAAGCAAAGGAGAGAAAATAAGAGGAAGTAGCTTAAGCACTGTTAGCTCTACTTGCTCTTCAAAAGTTACAGACAGCTAATGACCAAGTGAATGAAGTAGCAAGAATATGAAGATTTTTTCTTCTTCTTTCAATCAAAATCTTAAAAATTAAGAGACAACAGTAATACCATGAACTACACAATTACTTGATAATTAAAATGTTTAAAGAAAAGTGTAAAAAACATAATTTCATTATGCAAAACATTACAAGCAATACAAATCAGGATAAAAATATGTGTAATCATTCAATTTTAAAATATTTATTTTTCTCTAGATTCTAAATGGCTGCCTTGAGCTGCATCAAATAAACAGACCAACTCACACTGGGTAAAATATCGGCATTTTGTTTATAACAAAACATAAATATACTCTACAGTCCAACAGGTATAATCCAAGGTATAAGACTTGAATTATATACCATTTTATATATATATATATACATATATATATAAATTTTTATATGTATAAATATGTACTTTTATAATACATTAGAAATATGTATGTTTATATTTAGGAAACATAAAATAAAAGCATTCCATAAGGTATCCTGAAAAACAGTTCAGTGTTCAAGCCGTGTGTGTGTGTGTGTGTGTGTGTGTGTGTGTGTGTGTATATACTATTATACATAAAAATCACGTGAATATATAAAAGCTAGATATTGCCAGTATTTTACAAGTGTTTAAGTATGATAATGTTCTTGATGTTAATCTTATCAGTTCTACTTTATATTACAAATATAATTCCTGAAACTCATTATTTAAAATACTGCCTTTTCTTTAGAGGAGTTATCTCTACATATGTAACCATTCCTTTTAAAGATCTCTAAAACTTATAAATTCTATACCCCTATATAGTTCCTACTCACAAAAAAATGTGTTGCTTAATTCAAAGTGAACTTCAGTACTACTTAGTTTTTAAAATTTCACTACCTGAGATATCCCATGGAGTACACTCAGAAAAATTCTGGAAGACTGTATTCAACATATTAGTGGACAATGTCACTATGTGCATATACCATCCATAAGAATGTCTATTTTTTCATGCATTTTGATTTTTTCCCCCGAGGGGAAGAAAGTGAGCTAAATAACCTCTTCCAAGATTGTAGAGCAGCCAACACCATGCAACCTTAGACCAGGATTAAGTGACTAGTGCTATGAAAAAGATTAACATGAACAATTAATTCAGATTTTTCTATTCTCTTTGATCCAAAGTATGCTTTAATTCTTTGTAAAAGATCTTTATTCAAGTAACAAAAACTAGAAGCTCTGAATTCCTTGCACAGAAAGATACTTCAGCTTGTCAATGATTTATGTCAGCCCACCCCCTCACCCAATGGAATGTGCCTATCAAATTCTGTTAATATTAAAAGTCAATTATGAGAAAGAAATATTTATTAAAATAGTTACCTCAACATTTCTAAACGATACAAATTTCATAAACAAAAATGCCAGGCAATCCAACTAAAAATCTGAATATATATAGTTGATCAGTATATATATATATATATACAGAATATATATAGTTGATCAGTAATCTGTAGATAAGTGTACATTTCAGAATAAAGACTTTTAATAAGTCACCTAACTCAGTGATTTGAAGTCTGACTCTGGAAAGTAATAACTGCAGTTCATAATTAGGGCATTGTTATTAATGCTATAATTTGCTTTTATCCTTCTGACAGTGCTCACCTTTTCAGAATTTGTAAAAACATCAGATTTCAATTCTCCATCTAGAAACTCATTAAAGTATTTCATCAATTTCTGAGCCTCTACTGCCCGTTGTCTGGGTGTGTTTACCCCCTCCAACTGGTCTCCAAGGTGACAGACCTTGGTTGCTACATAGCTGATGTGCTCATCTAGTTCTTGGAAATGTTGGAAGGCAACCTAGGAAAAATGTGAACAAGCATAAAATACAATCAGAGAACCCAGATTAACTACAAATACTATCATTATTACCAAGGGGAATCTGCATTAGAAGTATTTGGAATCTATCACCTTAACTACTTAAAAACACATTATCTTATGTAAATTACTGACTTTATTATTTTCTAACAGTTATACATGCTTAAGTGAAGGAATCTAAATATATGAAATCTGAGCAGAAATCAGCTTTCTAACCCCTAACACTAAAGAACAAACAGCCCCTGGGAGGCAGCAATGCTAAACATGCTCTTCTAACTACATTTACAAAGGGCCATCAAGTTCCACATCAGGTCCAGGCTGTGAAAGAGGTTCAGAGGTTCCAGATTAAGTTTAGGGCCTAAGAATGGCTAAGAAGCTTGGCCTTCTTACCCCAGAGTCAGTCTAGAGATCTAGATTTACTCCCAAATGGACTGAGGAAGAGTTCTGCACATGCTTTTCCCAGTTACACCAGCATTCTCATTAGGGTATATACCTCATGACTTTTGTGAAGCTTCCCAGACCAGGTTTCCTCTAGGGAAAAACTTCATCCAGGCAATAGCTGGTCTGGTATTATTATTTTGCTTTATGATTAAATGAGAATGCAAATAAATACCTAAATATCCAAGCTAATCATGACCCCCTAAAAATACAGGTCTACTGAATTATCATTCTTAAAAGTTTGCACTGTTAAAGAGAAAGCAAGGACCACACTGTAATGGATACCACCCCATCCTAAGGGAGTACTGTGATCCCAAACCAACACTCAGTAGGCAAGCAAGTGCACCAAGAGTGCCTGATAACAATTCATTAACATTTTATCCCATGAGATGGGAGCAGTATAAAGAAACCTCAACAACTCTGTTGCATTAGATTTTTTTAAAAAACTGAAAACTGAAAGGAAATAAAGATATTAAAGCCTGTATAAACTACTCATTATTTAACTAACTGTTTACCTGATTGCTTTTCTGGAGATCTTGTACCTTCCTGGCAAATTCCTTAGCTTCTTTCTGACACTGTTGCTCTAGTTTCTCTACTTTCCTTTGAATCCTTTCATCCATTATCTGGAGTTCTTGAATATGATTTACAAATTCTTCTAATAATCTAACAAAGGAAAATTAGAATATGTATCAATCCATCTATAACTCATCACTAGGAAGTGACCAGTTCACTTATAATTGTAAATAAAGTATTAGTGAGCATTCCTTGAGGTAAGGATGAACATGTTAATTTTCTCTTCACCATCCTGTTAGGGATTATCTCTGACATAAATGAAAACCTCATATGGAATCTCCATTAACCCCCAGAATTGAAACCAATTTTATAGAAATAGTTAAAAAGGTAAATTGTACTATATAAAAATAATACTGTGCATTCCAGGGTATGGTGAATTTTTGTTCCCCCAATTTACGATACTTAAAACAACATATTCAACATGTTTTATTTTAGAGGTATAGCCAGCCATTTCTAATTTATTACTAATTGGAGAAAATATTAAATTCTCATAATGCAATAAAATCCCTTCCCCCATATCACTTAAAGTCCTTCTCTAAAATAAAAGAAACATAAAAGGAAAAAAATAAATCTCAAACTTCTAATGCTTCTTCCTTTTATTGGCCAGTTGTTAACTCCCTTTACATGAATGTTCAAAGGAATTCCAACAGTCACCTCTATTCCAGATACAAATTTGTACTAGATTGGGTCTATGAAAAAAGAATTTTTACTTCACCTTTTAGGATCAAAAGCTTCAGGTCCCCCTCTAGAGCCTCCTCCTGGGGTTCTCCATACAAGACGTTCAATATACTCATCTGCCACAAAAGGCTCCTAGTTTACAAAATAAATGTTCCTTTAAAAAGTTTCACAGGCCATGACTTAATACTACTTACAAAAATGAAATAGTTTGTACCATGTGAGAACTTAAAATTAAATTACTAATTAAATATATCTGTATTATTAAAACGTACAGGCTTTTTCAATTTAAAAAATCTTCAATAAACAAATTACTTAATGAAAATTAGTATATTAAAATATTAAAGAGTATTATGAGCAGGAACATACCAAAGGAAAAATGAGCAAGGGACACAAACAATTTATAGAAGAAATACAAACGGCCAAGAAACATGAAATATATACAGCTTCACTAGTAATCAAATAAGGTCAAGTTATCACTTTTTTTTTCTTCTTTTTGCCTCACAAACTGACAAAGTTTTTCTTTTTCCTTAATTATAATATGCATACAAGAGAGGGTAAGCTGAAATTCACTCTCATTATTGTTAGAAATGTTAAAAGGTACAGTATTTTTGGAGGACAGTAGGTAACATTTTGGTAACATCAAAGTACTACAAATGCTCATACCCTTTAACCCAGTGATTCTACTTTTAAAATTCTAAGGGAAAAAGCAGATATGAACACAAAATTTTTGTATTATATATAACTCTGAAAAATTATAACACAAATATTCAACAAAATCATTATTGAAAAATTATAGTAAACTTACAGGATAAAACAATTATTTTCCTATTAAAGTCATGTTGTAAAAAAAATTTAATGAAATGAGAAAAAAATGCTCATGTATAATATCTGATATTAAAAAAGCAGGATAGGACTTCCCTGGTGGCGCCGTGGTTAAGAGTCCGTCTGCCAATGCAGGGGACACAGGTTTGAGCCCTGGTCGGGGAAGATCCCGTATGCCACAGAACAACTAAGCCTGTGTGCCACAACTACTGAGCCTGTGCTCTAGAGCCCGTGAGCCACAACTACTGAAGCCCGCATCTAGAGCCCGCGAGCCACAACTACTGAAGCCTGTGTGCCACAACTACTGAAGCGCACGAGCCTAGAGCCCGTGCTCCACAAGAGAAGCCACTGCAATGAGAAGCCCACGCACCACAACAAAGAGTAGCCCCCGCTCACCGCAACTAGAGAAAGCTTGCATGTAGCAACGGAGACCCAAAGCAGCCACAAATAAATAAATAAATAAATATTTAAAAAAAGAGTAAATTCTGAAGAAAGAACTATATGCAGCTAAGGAATAAGTCATCTGGGGAAGGAATGCTCCAAGTACAGGGAACAAACTTAGTATGCAAGTAATGACAAGAGGCCAGTGTGACTAGAGCACAGTGAGTGAAGTGGAGAATAGTTGTAGATGAGATCAAGAGAGGTGGTGAGAATCCACAGCTTGTACTAAGGTCTTAAAGGATGTACTATAACATATTCCCCGTTATCGACTGAAGAAAAGGCCAGGTTCCCAGGAGGAAGGACTCTGCAACATGCTGGCAAATATATGCAGTAATGATTCTACTATTCCTTCCCCCAAAAGCAGTTACAACAATTTACTTGAGTAACTATATACTAGGGAAAGGGAAATACTCAAAACTTTTTGAGGTCTGTTGTATACAGGGTCCTAGCTGACATTCTTGATTGACTCAAAGCACCATGGACTCAAGAGACATATGGGAGGAGGACATACGGGAGCCAAGTAATAAACACATTCCTAGCCAAAGTCAAGCTCACCATCAGTCCAATGGGCCATTAGCCCAACTAGTGGCCATTTCCCCAGTTTGCAAACCTTTAATAGGAACAGACACACTTGATGGCCAATGCAACTTCCACACTGAGTCCCTGGTTTACAGAGTAGGAACTATTATGGTGGGGAAGTCCAAGTAAAAGTCTCTGAAATTGCCCCTCCCTACTCAATGTAGTAACCAAGTGGAATGGCAAAAATTAGTGCCACTCTTAAAGCTCTAAAGCAAGGATCAGCAAATTTTTTCATAAAGGACTAGATAGTATTTTAGGCTTGAGAGCCACAGAGTCTTTGTTACAACCATTCAACTCTGCCTATGTAATACAAATGTAGCCATAGGCAACACATAAACAAATGGTCTACCTATGTATCAATAAAACTTTAAAAACAGGCAGGTATCCCATGGGCTGTAAATTTGCCAACCCCCATCTAAAGGATGCAGGGGTAATGTTACCTATCATTTTCTCATTTAATTCATCAGTCTGGGTTTTGCAGAAACCAGACAAATCCTGGAGGATGACTACCTCAATAATCAACCAAAAAGTAGCCCCAGTTACATCTGCCGTGCCACATGCAGTACCTCCCAGCCTCATGCTATATCGCTAATGATTTAGGTGATACGTTCTTTTCCATCCCTACCAGCAAAGAGGATCAGACAGTTCATGGTCACATAGAACTGACAACAGTGTACATTTACAGTTTTGCTTCAAGGCTGTGTGAACTCTTACCCTCTATTATAACATGATCTGTACTGTATGGACATTCTGCAGAACATCTTACTGATTCCTCTTATGAACTGACATCATGCTAATTGGGCCAAATGAGCAAGAACTGGCTAGCACACTGGAAAAGCTTGGTAAGACACACGTGATCCAGAGACTGAGACGTATACTCTATAAAGATTCACGGGCACAGTGTATCAATAAAATTTTTAAGGTAGACAGAGGAGGCTGGGACATTGCATTCAAAGTAAAGGGCAAACTATGGTACCTTGCACCTCCACCACAACGAAGGACACATAACACCTGGTAGGCCTTTTCAGCTTCTGGAGCCAACATATTCCACACCCACTCTGGCACATATATCAGGTAACACAAAAACAGAAAAGGGATCTGTGGAAGAGGGGGCCATACAACCTAGCAGACCCAACAGTATTAAAGAAATCAGCATTTACTGAAGTATTAAAGTAATCAGTGCCAAGAAACAATGTCATGTGGAGTTATAGCAAGCTCCAGTGGGATAATCACAACACAGATCCCTGGACTGTGAAGGAAGATCATGCCATTTGCAGCAGAATTACACATCTTTTGAGAAACAACTCCTAGTACGCTTCTGGACTCTGGCAGAGAAGGTACACCTGACCACCATGCATCCAGAATTATAACATGAGGTGTGTTCTAACAGACTCCCCAAGTGGACCTAGGAACTATCCATCATAAGATGGAAGTAGTAAACCCAGGATCATACATGAACAGAACCACAAAGCAAACTGCATAAGCAGGTAGCCCAAACTCCCATGTATTCCACTACTATTGCACTAGCATCCTTCCCTCCGTTCACATGTATGGCCTTATGGGAATCTCTTACAACCAGATGATAGAGAAGGAAATAGCATGAGCTTGGTTTATGAAGAGTTGGCTAAGCATGTGGGTGCCAAATGAAAATGGACAGCAGCTGCAATTACAACCTCCCTCAACAGTGGCCTTGAAACTCAGTGGCAAGAAAAAAAAATCCTCCCAAAAGGCAAAGCTTTGGGAAATACACCTGGTCATCCTCTTGGGTGGACAGAAAACTGACCTGCAGTTAGAATATATATGGACTCACAGACAATGGCAAAGGGCCTGACTATCAGAGGAAAAAGACTGAAAGAAAGAGAACAGGAAAGTCTGGGGTACAGGCATGTGAATGGATACATGAGACTGGGCACGAAGTATGAAGATCTTAGTACCACATGTTAACATTCACAAGAAGACACCAACCAAGCAGACAAGATGACTCTGCCAGCTGACACCAGCCAGCCTCTGTCCGGCATTAGCATATTGCGCACACGAACAGAGAGAACACAGTTCAGAGATATGGCCCCAACAGCATGAGGTACTACTTAGCAAGGCTGATCCATCTAGTGTCAAAGCCAAAGATCTAGCTTAAGAGTGACAGAGACCAACTCTGAGCTCCTAAAACAGCCCAATCCTTCAAGTAGGCTAATCAGCCATGTGGTAGCAAGTTGACTACACTGGGCTTTTTCCATGCCGGAAGAGTCATTCATTCTAACAGGAACAGAAACATTCCAAATTGAGTTTGCCTATCCTCAGAGGAAGTGTTTGTTCTCCTGGCACAGGATCTCACATATCAGACCATGGGACCCATTTAACAGCAAAGGGAGTGACCATGGAATCAACTGGTCATATCATAAACCTTACCACCCAGAAGCTGCCAGTCTGATAGAGCACTGAAAGAGCCTGCTGAAGGTATAACTGAACTACCAGTTCAGAGACAATACTCTATAAAGATGGAGCACTATCCGCCAAAATGCAGTATACATTCTGAATTTAAAACATTTATATGATGCTGTGTCCCCAACAGAAAAAACACATGAGCCTGGGAACAAGGAATAAAATCAGAAGTGGCCCTGCTCATCATGACTCCCAATTTGTTCTTGCTATTCCTGCAATTCTAAGGTCTACAGGGTTAGAGGTCTTAATCTCCAAAGGGAGAATACTTTTGTATGGGAAAATAATTAAGAGTCCCAATAAACTATAACTGCAAGTGCTGCCTGGGCATTTGGCTGCTTTTATCCAGTGAATAAAAAACAAGAGGAGTGACCATCTTTGGCAGGGCAACTGACATCATCAGAGGGAGGCAGGGTGGCTACTATACAGAGGGGGCAGGGAACAATATGTTTGACACACAGATCTCCTTGTAAGGATCTTGTGATACTCCCTTGACCAATTCTGAAAGTACACGGACATGTGCGCAGCCCCGGCCTCAGAAGAGTACGGTAACCAGTTAAGCCACCTAAAGCAGCAGACATACTAGCTGAAGGTGAGAGGGAGTTAGAACGGAGAGTAAAAAATGGAAAGTGATATCAGCTGCAACCTGAGACCACATGCAACAGTAGGGGCCATAGTTCATCCCACTAACCACCTTCTAATTTTCCTCCAGGATAAGAACCCCAACTGGAGTCTAGAGGAGGTACCCCCCAAATGTATGTGAAGACATAGAGTCTAGTGGCACAGGGGTGGTCTGCGGTGGACACGTGTCATCCAGATCTCCCTTCAAGGAGGGTCTTGCTCTAACTGCTAGC